TTAAATAAAAATTTAACCCTCTATATGAATAACAATTGAATTTTTTTTCCTATATGTAGTTTTTGTTGATTATTTTTATTTAATAAAAATTTTTAATTATTATTTATATAATATGTTAAATTTTTATTTAAGATTTATGTCTAAAATATTAAAATAACAAATTAAAATTACTAAAAATAAATAAAGTGAGTAGTTAAAAAATGAGTTATTTTGGAATGGTAGAAGTAATTTTTTCTTTTTCCCAAATCATCTCTGTCTTAATTCTAAACTTAAATTGAAAGGCACAACAAGGTAGAGATCAGAATAAAATCAATTACCGATCCTTTTTAAGCTTGGCGAAAAGAATTGCAAACATTCATTTTAGGAAGTGGGATAGTCTATCTCTTCTGATCACCTCCTTTGTTACTTTGGAACAAATTAAGCTCACTTTTCCAAAAGAAAAAAAAAAAAAGATTTTCTGTGCATTCAGATAGTAATAATTACATGATCAAGAACAAAACCCAAAAAGGCAAGAACTGAGAAGGAAAACTTAAACCAGCTAGCTAGCCAATTCATCATCCAATTTGTTTTTAATATTACTGAAAGTAATAGTTAGTTGAGCAAGAAATCTGACATACCTCCAGCCCTTGATTGCCCAATTTTACAGTTGGGATCGGAATCTGTTTCTCCATTACAGATAATGTGTAGTTGGCTTGAAGATGCTACTTCGCGTCGGAGTGGAGGAGAAAGAACGGTACCAACAAGATGACAACATTATCATGTGGACATCTTATTATCTGGACAAGACTTCTGTGCGCCAACTGTTGTTGACCGGAATTGTTATGACGGTGTTAACACTTAAGAAACTCATTTATAAGCCTTAATTTCAATTGGTTTCAGCAGGAAGTTTTGTTGGTTAGTTCAGTGGTACGCAGATTGCTACTCAATTACATCACGCGACCTCATGTTCCCTTGAGTAGAGCTTATTCCATTTTTTCTGAAGGAAATCAGCCTGGTGTTTTAGAGAGAGTAGGCTCTGCAGCTGGTACGGTCTTTCTTTGGTCCAATTAAATACCAATTGTTTGGTGCTTGTGATATGGTACATCTTAGCAGGAGAAGCTTCTCGTAATGTCTTGTCTTTGACTTGCAGCAAGCATTGTGTTATTGCCATTCAATTACCTGGCCAGTTCAAATGGTGAAGGCTCTAGAAATCAACTTGCAGATAGCAGTCTCCATGTGTTGCTTGTTCTCATTCATTATCGTAAATGTCTAGTGAATGAGGAGTCTATAACAAAGAGAAGCAATGAAAGTTTAACTTCAGATTCTGTTTCTAAAGTAAGCACATACTTTTCTGATAATCCCTACTGCAAGGCCTTAGAAAATGCAAGGGACATTGAATGTAAGATTCTGTTTTGCATTTCTTTTGTGTGTGTCTGTTATTTTAATATCGTAGGACACAGTGTTAGTAAACAAGTGCCTTGCATGCAGTTGATCGCGTAGATGTTGAGGGGACTGCAAGCGCAAACAATGGTTCTGTTGTGAGGTTGCCTTTTGCATCTCTATTTGATACCCTTGGCATGTAAGTGTCTCTCTTTCAAATGTCAATATATGAATAGATGAAGTTATGCTATTCAGAATTTTTTTTTTTTTAAATGCTTCTCAGGCAATTGAACAGGGGTTGAGGTTTCCGTGTCATGGTTAAACTGGATGTTAAGCTTTCTGATTCTGAAATAGAGTTGTAGTCTTATTTATGAGATTATTTATTTATTTATTTATTTATTTTTGTACCTGTATAAAGTCTAAGACTCTTAATAAATTTCAGTCTTTTGTAATTTTCCCTCCAAATGCTTCCTATAATTAACAGCAAGTTGAAGAGAAAAGGTGCAAATAAGGATGTCAACTTTCAACTTTTTCTATATAAGGATGTCAACTTTCAACTTTTTTTATATAAGGATGTCAACTTTCAACTTTTTCTATTTAAGGATATTAGCTTCCAAGAAAGTCCGTTTGCCATATCAGCATCACTATCCAATTAACGTTAAATAGAAAAAGTTGAAAGTTGGCATCCTTAAATAGAAAAAATTGAAAATTGGCATCCTTATTTAGAAATTGATAAAATTAACATCCTTAAATAAAAAAAGTGCAAAGTTGGAATCCTTATTTGCACCTTTTCTCGCAAGTTGAAAGTAGTGACTTCTTACTCAGAGCCATTGTTACTGTTTTACTTCCTTTTTTTTTTGGTTGTAATTACTTTTTTTTTTTTTGTTATAATTACTATTTTTTTATCAACTTCTTTTTGTTTATGTTATTATTGTCATTATTATTGCACAGTTGTCTTTTCTCTTCTTTTCACAAACTCTCACAATTTCTATGAAGTTTTCATAAGTGGTTTGCGTTTGTAGGTGCTTGGCTGATGAGGCTGCAGTCCTTTTACTTTATTCATTGGTGCAAGGAAACTCTGATTTTTTGGAATATGTTCTGGTTCGAACTGATTTGGATATGTTGGTAAGCAGCAACTTCTGCCATCTGCAGACAAAGCATCTTCTGTTCGACAAAAGAGTCCTAAGCCATTACATGATGACTTAAAAAGTTCCTTCAAGTCCATTTGCATAAAAAATTGAAATATTCTGCAGTCTAGGTGACTTTGAAATCAGTTGTGTCATGCAATTGTAATTGGTACTTAAATTTTTAGGCCTTTTTTTGCTAGGTACTGGGTTGATATTGCTGAATTTTTCAGGGATCTTTCCCAATTTCCATATGAACCTCCTCCATTTAACTTGCAACTCTGCCCCCGCCAAAAGAAATAAAAGACATATGCATAATAACTAATGCTAATTTATGATTTGTTTTCATGCTGCAATATTGCTGTGTTTGAGATTTCAGTTGATCTTGGTCTTTCTCATGGCATGAAACTATTTGGCTCAATCCAGTTTATACTTGTTTCTTATAATTGTATCATCTGAGATTGCTTGCAGTATTACTGTTGAAGTGGCATAGCTGCAGCATAGTCTGATGCCAATATGTGTTTCTGTGATGAAATCAACAGTTGATGCCCATTTTGGAAACACTATATAATGCTTCAAGGAAGACTTCTAATCAAATATACATGCTGCTGATCATACTTCTCATACTTAGTCAAGATTCTTCTTTCAGTGCAAGCATTCACAAGATGGTAAGTGTTCTCCTATCAGACAACGTTTTGATCTCTGTGTACAGGTATTTTTGTTAATATATTTCACTGGTACAGGTACTGCCTGCTGTCCCATGGTATAAAGAGCACCTTCTTCATCAGACATCTCTTGGTTCCTTGATGGTCATAATTCTGATTCGGACTGTACAGTATAACTTGTCTAAGCTGCGGGTATGGTTCAAAGTTTTTATGGTCTTACCTGGTTGTATTTTATTTGCAGAGTTAGTATTCATTTATAAATGTTTAAATGACTATAGTTTGATGCTAGATATACTACTTAGTTAATGCCATATGTATCTTTTTGTGGTTGCTTGTGTGTCAATTTACAAGTGATGGGATTCAAATCCCAAGCAAACCACCCATTTGGGTTCAGTGTTTCTCAATTATCTTATTTAAAGAGTTAATGCTAAATTGCCAATGGCATCATTTAGGCTGAAACATTTTGTTATGATTTGTTATTTGGATGCAAAGGCAGTACATGGACTTTTGCCTTTTTAATATTTCCGTGAACAGGATGTTTATCTCCATACAACTTGTCTAGCAACTTTGGCAAACATGGCACCTCATGTGCATCGTTTGAGTGCATATGCTTCTCAGAGACTTGTCAGCCTTTTCTATATGCTTTCAAGGAAGTATGTGATTCACATTTTTCACTCATTTTCTCTTCACCATAATATTCTACCAACATTGCTCATGATAATGTGTTGTTTCTGAGGTAGACTTGCTTTTTTTGTGGCCCTACACGTGCAGGATGGTTTTTAACTGTTGCTGATAAATGTACTTTTTTGGATTTAGGTACAACAAATTGGCAGAGCTAAGAGATGAGAAATTGCATATAAAGATGAACTCAATAGAACAAGACAACCTCACAGATGATATGGTTGTAATCATAGCTTCTTTATATCTTATGGCACCTTTTTTATATTTCATGTATATTAATGTTGTCCTTAATTGTTTTTCCCTTTTTCTTTTCTTTTTCCTCTTATTCTTCTTTTACAGTCAGCAGAACTGCAAATTTACACTGATTTCTTGAGAATCGTCCTTGAAATATTAAATGCAGTTTTGACTTATGCCCTGCCTCGAAATCCTGAGGTATATCTTTTGATTTAATCATGTTTGATGCATACACTCATGTTTATTTTTCAGGTTCTCCTGTAAACATGGATTCTTAATATCTAACCTTATGCACTTGGCAGGTTATTTATGCCATTATGCACAGGCAGGAAGTTTTTCAGCCATTCAAGAACCATCCTCGCTTCAACGAGCTGCTTGAAAATATCTACACTGTATGCTTTATTGGGTTTTACTAATGAAATGTCATTCAATTTTCTGTCTTTGATTTGGCTGGGTCAGCTGTTCAGATAGTGGTTGCCTATTGCTCTTTCTTGATCTCTTTGGTGATGTAATGGATTCTGTTTTTTTCTTGGGTGCATTTGCCCCTTTGTTTTCTGTAGGTATTAGATTTTTTCAACAGCCGTATGGATGCTCAAAGACTGGATGGTGAATGGTCTGTGGAGAAAGTTCTCCAACTCATAATTAATCATTGTCGATCTTGGCGTGGTGAAGGGATGAAGGTAGGATTAAATAATTGAAAGTGAAATTTTGTGCACTTAGGGAATAGGAATTTACATTTTTTTGCCAAATGCTTATATTATTGTGGTTGGTAAGGTTTCAATTTGTTTCAGTTCTTGACTAGGACAGGGAGTTCTGCTTGTCCTTTTTTCCCTCTATTCTTTTCTAAATCTGGAACTCTTTTCTGGCAGATGTTTACTCAACTGCACTTTTCATATGAACAAGAGAGTCATCCAGAGGAGTTCTTTATTCCATATGTCTGGCAGCTTGTTATATCCCGGAGGTAATGCTTCTTCACTACAGCCTTCCCACTTTTCTGTTCAGAAAACAGCTTACATAATTGCTACAAACAAAATTTATGGGAGGGGCAATGAACTCAACTCCGGATTGATGCTGTTAGGTTCAGTAGTCTATATGATTACTTCTTGTGCTTTCTAATGGCTGATTCATCTTCTCCTTTGTTTGCAAATTGTTCTTGAGCTAATATGTACCCTACTCTATACCTTTTTCTTTTCTCAGCGGATTCAGCTTTAATCCAAGTGCAATAAGTTTGTTCCCAGTTGATCTGCACGCAAATGTAAGTATCTGAACCACCATTTCTAGAGTTTTGTAGAAGTTGATACCTCATACCTGATTGTCGCTTAAAGTTTTCTTTTCCCCTTTTTATCACATTATACTTTCTCACATAATTTAATATCTATAGCTTCCCTTAAAAAAAAAAAGGGAAATTCTGAGTAAAGTCATTTTGGAATTTGTTTAACATTTAGAAATGCATGCGTGTGTTACCATGAATTTTTGTATTTAACATTTAGAAGTGTACTTTTACACTAAATTACTTGAATACTTAAGTTACCCCATAAGCCTTCCATCATATTTACGATAGACCATCATTCACCTCTATGCAGAAAGAGATCAGGGACGGCGAGGAACCAAATATACGTCCAAATGGAGATGTGAATGAGTTCAACCTCCATCTTGATCCGTGATTCTCATTTATATGCTCACACAATCTTATTTGTGGTTTTTGCTGCTTTTGTAAATGTATAAAGTAACAGAAAATGTATTCTTCTCATTCTTTGCTGTTAATATGTTGGAAATACAGTAGAGCCCTTTTCTCCCCATAGATAAAGCTTTAGAAGTTCAAATTCCAATCTCGTGTAATAAGAAAGGACGATCAATTCCACGTTTTGCATTATAGTTTCTGTCCATGCCGCCTACAGTGGTACTTCATCTTCATAGCCTGAACTGAATCATTAAAACAGTGAATGAACGTTGATCAATTCAGGTTTTCTTGTGTCATTGAATCCTATGCCATACATAGCAAAGGTAAATAAAAATTGTTTTTTGTAATTTATGTAGTAGCTGTTGAAGAACGATAGAACACTCCATTTTGTTAAGAGCTTTTTGTTTAATTATTAGTATTTTGCAGCTCAAACAATAGAACACTCACATATAAATTATGTTACGTTGGTCAATTGGCAAACGGTGTAAATGGGGTTGGAAGGTATATGATTAACCATGAATGTGAAAATTTTTGATGTTATCTCAAATTCTCAATGTCAAAATAATGATGCCTGTCCTAGCTGCCAGTGTTAGGTGCTTAATTATTGCACTCGAATTTATTTTTGGTTACAAGACAATAGAAGCTGATTAGTTGGGCAATGGTGGCTGGTCTGGTTTGATTTGGTTATGAGAAGACAAAGAAAGTTTTGGGGGGAGGAGGGGCTGTGGTGTTAAACATTTTAACCATGAAAGTGAATCAAAACGAGTTTTTTGTTATTTTTTTCTTAGAAGATTTATTTGTTTTGGCCATTTGTTGAGGTTTCGGACACTACTTTCGACATACATATTGAAGATTTACTCAAACAATATTTTTATAGTAAAGGTAAAGTTCAAATTAAGTAAACTCTTAACCACAACCAACTTGGTCTTCTTGCTTTACGCAATGAAAAAGGTAGGTATTTTCCTCAACATCTTTTTCACGCTACTTCTTCCGTTTTAGTAGTTAACATAATTTTTTTTTAAAATAAAAATATATCAATTAATAAAATTTTATAATTATCTCTAAAGAATTATGACTTAAATAATAATTCTTATTGCTCCCACTGCATTGGTTACGTTGGCCGGGTAACATCAAAGTCTTGACAATTGTTAGAATTCTAACCACTACAATAACAGATTTTTTTCCCTTTTCTTAATTTTACCCCCCTTTTCCCCCGGGTCAAAAAAAAATTGTTATTGTATATATATATATTGTCATAATTAAATGAATTATATTATTTTTAAAAAAAAATTGACAATTATTTTCAAACTCCTAAATTAGAAATTAAATCAAGTAAATGTTAAACGAAGCATATTAAATGGATTCCAAATCTAAGAATGAGCGCCCTTTCTCACTCTTCTTTTTTTAGTTTTTATTTATTTATTTATTTATTTATTTTATATCTTAAAACGAGCTTTCTTTGTAAGGAGTGTTTAAATTTAATCTTTTCTTCCTTTTTACATTTTTGATATAAAGTTTAATCGTTTCTTCATTTCAAGTAAATATATAATATCTTACAACACCCAACATGAAAATTACATTTTATTTTAGCACGAAAGAAAATACCAAAAGGAAAAATTAAAAAGGTCAAACGACATGATTCAAAAAAAATAAAGCTCAAACGACAGAAGGGTTCCTCATTCAAGGAGATAATTACACGAGGGCCCCGCCCTTGACGTACTCAGTGAAGGCCAAAGCAATAAGACCCAGCATGGCGAACCTGCCGTTCCAAAGCTCGGCGTCTGAAGTCATGAGCCCCTCCGACTTGGACTCGGCGGACACCCCTCTAAACAACGGGATCAAAGACGCCAGCGACAGAACGACGGTGCTTCCTAGGAACCACGGGATCCCGCCGTCGGATATCTGTGTGAACAAGTCCTGTCCTTTGGATAGCTCCATCGCGATCGCAGCCACGAAGCCGATCATCGCCAACCTACCATTGATCCTCTCTGGCGCTGGTCCACTGAATGCGAACACATCGCCGAATTTTGTACTGACCTTCGGTGCTGCTGGCGACGGCGTCGGCTGGGGCTTTGGTGGAGTTGTTACGGGAGTGGCGGGTTGCTCCTTCTCGATATCTTCCTGCAAAGGCAAAGGTTTCGACACGTTAGTCCTCGGATCTTAAAAACTTAAAATCACATTCTGAAGACATATGTTGAAACTTACCTCCGCCATGCACCGGACACGAACACCGGGATTCCTCTGCAAGCCTGGGGCATATTTTACAGGAAAGAACTGGCCGACTCTGGTTCTGCTAGAAATGCCGCTCATCGGACCTGCAAGCAGGGATTGTACGCTGGCAATCATCGCCATCTCTGCCTGAACTGAGGAACAACGCGTACAGAGAATGAAAGCTTAGGAAGAAAGCAGTAATCGGAGAACTAACTTAATTTCAGAGATATGGCTGCTCGTCGACTCTGCGGTGGACGGTAGAACTTGTGAGGGTATTTAAAGGAAGGGATGGGGAGACGGGGAAGGTGGGAAGAGGGTGGTGGATATTTTGCGCCCACGTAAGCTGAATGTACTTTGGCAAAGTGATTGGTTCACGTGGGTTCTGTTGTCCACACATGTTAGGACTGGGATGACGTGGACTTCACTTTCACCAGAATCTCCGGTAGAACAGCACTAGTGAATTTGAGGTTATGAATTATGATGGCTGTTCAAAGGCCTTTAGTTAGCTCACTACTAGGACATTCTAGACCTTTCCGGTGGCTTCTCCAAGTTCTCAATCCGGCACCATCATTTAGGGTTATACTCTTGTATTGGTCTCTATGCTTGCACATATCAATTACCTTTATAAGATAATGGTTCATTAAACAATCTTTTTTAAGTTGAATTAACTTAATAAATTTAATAGTTTATTATCAAATTTAAGAGTTTAAATTCAGTTAAACTCTTAATTAGTTATTGAAAAAAATCCTCCTCTTCCTCCAATTCCTTTCTGTTTAAAAAAAATAAAAATAAAAAAGACAGTCTTGCAAGGCAGACCTAATCTATAGCTCTCAAGAGTACTAAATGTGGGGAGAAATCATTAATTACCATTTTGTGAGGTATGGTCGGGGGTATTCATAACCAAAACCAAAAGACTGGAGCTTACATGACGGAATCCTGACCGCTCAAGGATCATCCATCCGTGGACTAGATGCCCTTTTAGGGCCCTTAAGATTGTGTCTTTGTAAACTTTTGAGGCTCAATTAGGATGTAGAGTTGTTGCCCCTACAGACTAGACTCAAGAAGCATCCTGGCTGAGAGCTTGAGAGTCTCTTGCAGTCTTAGTCATGACAATAGCAAGATATATATGATTGATGATTTTACAGTAACTTCATATTGGGTAACGGTTTTCCTTTCATTTGTGAGCCTTTTCATTGTACCTTTTAAGGGTTATTATGCATGCTGAAACAGTTCAAAAGGCAGCAAATTAGTTACAATTGGGATGAAGGAACAACTGAGTTTTGATTTTGAATATTGTACATGATAATGGTTGTATTCGTAAAAAGCTTCATTTTGTACAGAGAGACTGCAAACTGTTACATGAGTGACCACAGAGACTTATTGGGTAGACTATCATCATGCATTGCTCTCATATCATAATCGACAAGAGATGCATTCTATTTCTTATGAACAACAAGCATCACAGACAACAAAGAAAAAAATGTTTAACATCGAAAATTCACCCATTAATTCCTAATGCTGCAGTAGTGATTGCATAATCCCTCATTCATCACACAATGCTTACTCAAGAAAGTTTCCTCCAGCCCAAGTTTTCAGCAAGAAATTCACATCTTGCCACTTTTATTTTGATAACATTGAAAACAAACTTCTGTCTGTTTCTGTGATTTTATTCACTTTGGTGGGGTGTTTGCCAACTTCCAGGTATATTCAGATAAAGCATCAAAATCACTAGATCCACTCACTTCTTGAATGGGCACAGCATCACTAATTTCTTTCAAATCCAGTTGAGTGAACCTCAATGACAACGATCCAATATTGTCTATGATATTCTTGACTTTGGTTGTTCCTGCATAAATCAAATGTGAATATATATATATATATATATATATATATTCATAAGAATCTCACACATTATGCAACCACATTGAAGAAGAAACTGTTATAATTTAGGTAGCTGAGACAATTAAGATAGTGTTTCATTGAAGGATAGCATTCGCTACTACGTCCATTCAATGGACTGAAGAACAAATGCCTGTCCCTGGCCCCCTGCTGAGGGGGCTCGGTGGGGGGTAATATCAAGTTCCACAAGTATGAAATTTTGTCTATAGAAAAAAGAACCAAATGTACCAGGGATTGGGATTATGTCATCCCCCTGATGTAGAAGCCAAGCTAAAGCGAGCTGAGGAACGGTGCAGGCATGCTTGGAAGCCGGGTCAGAAAGTCTAGTATAAATGAGCTTGTTTTTCTCTAGATTCTCCCCCTTGAACCTGGGATGCGCAGCCTGTTCCAGGAATATCAAAAAATTGTGACCAACAGTACATTGGCTGAATTGCATTGGCTGAATATCAAAAAATTTAGTTCACTGAATTGCATTGGAACTTGATGGCACTTTACATTGGCTGCATGACAAACTTGGATAACAGAATTCAAAAGCAGAATAGAATTTGTATGTCTATTGTGACAAGAATAAACTCTGATAGACCAAAACTTGATTCAAATTACCATAAGCATTTTGCATAGTTACATACCAATATACTCTCATTTGGCAAACTCTCCACAACTGCCTTCCCGCCAAAGAATCCGCGACCAAGAGGACTATATGCCACTATCCCAATTCCAAGCTCCCTATATGAATAGAAATGGTAAGATATAGAAATTATGTAGAGAGAAACAATATAAAGTGTCCACTGCATCTCTGCATAACCATGTCAAACAAAGGACAAATATCTTTCTCCAGTACACATTATCTACGGTAAATTCAGTTTAGTAAAAAGTTCATATCTGGGGATAACAAACCTGCAAAGTGGAATTATTTCATCTTCAATGTCACGTGTCCATAGAGAGTATTCCATTTGTAAGGCAGTAATGGGATGAACAGCATGCGCTCTCCTTATTGTGGCCGGACTAGGTTCGGACAAGCCAATGTATTTAATCTTTCCTTCCTCCACCAACTTCTTGAGCTCTCCCATCTACTCTTCAAAAAGTGAGCCAAGTTAAACCACCATCAAGTTCCAATGCAATTCAGTAAACTAAATGCATTAGAAAGAAGTTTTATACTTACTGTATCCTCTATTGGCACAGTTATGTCTACGCGATGCTGATAATAGAGATCTATGTAATCCACACCAAGACGCTTAAGACTACCTTCACAGCACTCACGAACATACTCTGGGGTACCCTTGACCCCATACTGACCTTCCTCTGATATGGTAATACCAAACTTTGATGCTACTTGAATTTTTTCGCGGGGAAGCTGCTTCAAAGCCTAGAAGTACAAGAAACATAGTCTACCAATCAGTGTTATAATCTAACTATTGCACGATGCAATGCAACACCTAAGTATTGGTTTATTTTGATATTTTTACTTGCTCTGGTATTCCTCCAATTTCTTACAGTAACAGATACTTCGCTGCATAAAAAACTGTGGTCTGCATCATATTATCTCTTTGTTTTGTGTTGAAGGCTATGTATGGTTGAGACTTGAGTGGAGATATACCTTCCCAATCATGATCTCATTATCATGATTTTTCCCATAGATGTCTGCTGTATCAAAGAATGTGATTCCTTTGGTGAAAGCTTCTTTTATAATTGAACATCCAGCTTCATGAGAAAGAGGAGCATTAAGAAACCCGGAAAGGCCCCCACATCCAAAACCCAATCTGGAAACCTGCAGGCCGGAAAAGCAAACTAAAAATTATAGAAAACGTGTTTTGTAGTTCAGACTTTAACTATTGGATGAGGGCAGATCTTGATATTGGGGCCTCTGTCAACCTTCCTCTCTTATCTAATGGTTATTGTTTTACAATTAAGTGCAATTTGAATACAGAACTCAAAAATTATTGTGGTGATAATACATCCAAGATAGTCATTAATTGACAAGGGGAAAAACAAAATTTCAGGAATCTTCATTGCTCTTAAACAATGTCACAGACCAACTTTATCTCATTGTTATAAATTCGGTTGATAAATGAGACTACTTTCACTTCATAGTCCAAGACTAAAGATTAAACTCCAAATGTGTGAGTAAGAGCAGCTCAAACCACATGGCATTAAGTATTCTTGATCTTCTTCTCGCAAAGAGTAATATTCCAATTATTAAGTGGTCGAAATCAAATATTTCATACATCCAGTCCTCTATTTTATTCTGTTCATCTCAAAATAATAATAGTTTTTTAAATCAAGAATTTACATACAATTTATATATTTATTTATATTATTATTTGTAATGTTTTAAATCTTATATTGGTAAGGAATTATGAGTAAATTTGATATAAGTGTGAAAATTAACTATTATTAATAACTTAATTTTGAACTTTTTGAGGATTTGTGAACTTTTTGAGGATTCGTGAACTTTGATTCAAATAGTTGTTAAGTCAATAACAAGTTTTGAATCGAGTCATTTTAGTTGATATCAGAGTATATAAACTAAATTAAATGGATAATGATATAAATTTTAAATAAAAATTTAACCCTCTATATGAATAACAATTGAATTTTTTTTCCTATATGTAGTTTTTGTTGATTATTTTTATTTAATAAAAATTTTTAATTATTATTTATATAATATGTTAAATTTTTATTTAAGATTTATGTCTAAAATATTAAAATAACAAATTAAAATTACTAAAAATAAATAAAGTGAGTAGTTAAAAAATGAGTTATTTTGGAATGGTAGAAGTAATTTTTTCTTTTTCCCAAATCATCTCTGTCTTAATTCTAAACTTAAATTGAAAGGCACAACAAGGTAGAGATCAGAATAAAATCAATTACCGATCCTTTTTAAGCTTGGCGAAAAGAATTGCAAACATTCATTTTAGGAAGTGGGATAGTCTATCTCTTCTGATCACCTCCTTTGTTACTTTGGAACAAATTAAGCTCACTTTTCCAAAAGAAAAAAAAAAAAAGATTTTCTGTGCATTCAGATAGTAATAATTACATGATCAAGAACAAAACCCAAAAAGGCAAGAACTGAGAAGGAAAACTTAAACCAGCTAGCTAGCCAATTCATCATCCAATATGTTTTTAATGTTACTGAAAGTAATAGTTAGTTGAGCAAGAAATCTGACATACCTCCAGCCCTTGATTGCCCAATTTTACTGTTGGGATCGGAATCTGTTTCTCCATTACAGATAATGTGTAGTTGGCTTGAAGATGCTACTTCGCGTCGGAGTGGAGGAGAAAGAACGGTACCAACAAGATGACAACATTATCATGTGGACATCTTATTATCTGGACAAGACTTCTGTGCGCCAACTGTTGTTGACCGGAATTGTTATGACGGTGTTAACACTTAAGAAACTCATTTATAAGCCTTAATTTCAATTGGTTTCAGCAGGAAGTTTTGTTGGTTAGTTCAGTGGTACGCAGATTGCTACTCAATTACATCACGCGACCTCATGTTCCCTTGAGTAGAGCTTATTCCATTTTTTCTGAAGGAAATCAGCCTGGTGTTTTAGAGAGAGTAGGCTCTGCAGCTGGTACGGTCTTTCTTTGGTCCAATTAAATACCAATTGTTTGGTGCTTGTGATATGGTACATCTTAGCAGGAGAAGCTTCTCGTAATGTCTTGTCTTTGACTTGCAGCAAGCATTGTGTTATTGCCATTCAATTACCTGGCCAGTTCAAATGGTGAAGGCTCTAGAAATCAACTTGCAGATAGCAGTCTCCATGTGTTGCTTGTTCTCATTCATTATCGTAAATGTCTAGTGAATGAGGAGTCTATAACAAACAGAAGCAATGAAAGTTTAACTTCAGATTCTGTTTCTAAAGTAAGCACATACTTTTCTGATAATCCCTACTGCAAGGCCTTAGAAAATGCAAGGGACATTGAATGTAAGATTCTGTTTGGCATTTCTTTTGTGTGTGTCTGTTATTTTAATATCGTAGGACACAGTGTTAGTAAACAAGTGCCTTGCATGCAGTTGATCGCATAGATGTTGAGGGGACTGCAAGCGCAAACAATGGTTCTGTTGTGAGGTTGCCTTTTGCATCTCTATTTGATACCCTTGGCATGTAAGTGTCTCTCTTTCAAATGTCAATATATGAATAGATGAAGTTATGCTATTCAGAATTTTTTTTTTTTTAAATGCTTCTCAGGCAATTGAACAGGGGTTGAGGTTTCCGTGTCATGGTTAAACTGGATGTTAAGCTTTCTGATTCTGAAATAGAGTTGTAGTC